GAGGCTTATGGGACAGACGTGTTTTGGAGGCACAAAGTGAAGGGTGCCTCGCTCAGGAGGATGGAACAGCCTGTGCAAAAGCACAGAAGCAAGGACATAGCCACACGACCCAGAACACACATGTGCATGAGTCCTGCTGAGTGGAGAGCGGATCGAAGGAAACACAGGTTGTACTAATGGGATGGGTGAACCTCTGTGTAATTATGCAGAAGATCTTGGGTGTAGGTTATGATCAAGCATGTTGATTGGGCAAGAAATGTTTGCACTTATATGTTAGGTCCCCTGGAGCAAAATGGACAGTAGAGGGGAAGAGGGACATGACTGGGCAGAGGGATTGGAACGGAGGCTATTGCAGAGAAGCTGGGGGCAATGAGAAGAAAGACGATAGGAAGAGAAGATAAAAAACAAGTCATGGGGAGGTAAAATGGACGGGCAATGGCATTTGGTAGAACATGGGGGGTAACCTGGAGAGAGACAAGGACCTTGCCTATCTTGGTCATAACTGTCTCTCCACCACCTTGAAGAATGTCTCATCTAGGTTCCCAGGAAGTAGTTGTCAAGTGAGTGAAAGGGAGATGGATATCCAGGTGCCTCCTGGGTTTCTGGCTGGAGCAGAACCTTTACGCCAGTCCCAAAGGAGGGACACAGGAGAGGACACCCATGTACGTATTCATCTGTGAACTGCTGGACATGCAGGTGATTTCTAGAAGAATAAACCACAGGACATACAATATAAGGGTGTGGGGGTAGGAGAGTAAGAAGAGATAATGAAGGAAATACCAAATATGACTGCAGGAGCACAGGAAGAGGATTAGGTTAGGTTACAATCACAAGTCAAGAGACATTTTCAAGCTGAATTGTTTGAAAGGGTAATTTGTCCAGAGAGTTCAATGAGAATAAAGTCTAGAAAAATTGGTGAGCAGCTTAGGGAGACTCAGGGAAGAGTATAATCAGTGCTGGGGTATGAAGGTCCCTTGCTTTCTTATGTAGACATGTCAGAATTAGAGGTTGGCTTACATTTCAAGTTATTATAGAAACTCTGTGGCTTTGTGCATCTTTTAACCTAAGGAAGATAAAGGCAGCATATGGAATGGTAATTTTATTTTATTTTTTTTAAAAAATATATTTTATTGATTTTTTACAGAGAGGAAGGGAGAGGGGATAGAGAGTTAGAAACATCGATGAGAGAGAAACATCAATCAGCTGCCTCTTGCACACTGGGGATGTGCCTGCAACCAAGGTACATGCCCTTGGCCGGAATCGAACCTGTGACCCTTTAGTCCGCAGGCCGATGCTCTATCCACTGAGCCAAACCGGTTAGGGCTGGAATGGTAATTTTAATAGTAACATCCAGTATGCAGATCAGAGATTGATGCTACTAAACAAGAATAACAACTAAAATAAAGAGTAATGCCTAGCTCTGGCCGGTTTGCTCACTGGTTAGAGCACCCGCCCGTGCACCAAAGTGTCGTGGGTTCAATTCCTGGCCAAAGGCACATACCTGGGTTGCAGTTCATCCCCAGACCTGTCGGGGTGCGTGTGGGAGGCAACCAATTAATGTGTCTCTATCACATTGATGTTTCTCTCTTTCTCTCCCCTCTCTCTCTTCTTTCCACTCTCTCTAAAAGTTCAATAGAAAGAATATCCTTGGGTGAGGATTAACAATAACAACAAAAAAAATTAAAAAGAAAAGAATAACTCCTAAATGTGGAGCTATTACCACCATGAAAAACAAACTGATTTGGATCATAGTTTTTTATGTAGAATAGATAATTTCAAATCGTGTGGTTATTATTAATCATTAAATATTTTAGAGAAATATGTATCTCTTGAATGAATAACTTTGTGATACACAAGTGGAAAAATCATTCCTACATATTACATTATGGGCAACGACTACATATCTTAGTCCATCCCCACACATGGTCTAATTTAGATGGTCCCTAAAGGTTTTGAGAGGGTGCTCTCAAATATTAGTCGTGTAAAAAGTACCAAAGGTGCTTGATAACATTCTACTATTTAATTCAAGAGGGTCTGGGAATTAGCCTTTTAACAAACACCCCCATGTGACTCTGATACAGACATGAAGTGGTCCTACTTGAAGAAGCATTGCCTTAAAAATCAGTTTAGTGCTATTTGCATTTTTTAGCTGGTGTTCTTGCTCCCTCAGGTGGTATAATGTGGAATTGCATGTTTCAGATTTCTTTTCACTGATTAGAAACTAGAGCTCCACAATTTATCTACCTGTTCATCTAGCCTTTACTTAGCCATGCTGCCAACCTACAAATGCCAAGTGCAGAATTAGCCTTCCTATCCATCCATACAAATAAGATGAGTAGAGAAACCCAGAAAATGTTATATTTGAAATTCCACAATTTAGAAAAATTGTGGCCCAAACATTAGCTATTGTTTTATTTTATTTTATTTTTTTTGAGAATTTTGAAAGTGTTTAGTAGCAGAGTACTGAAGAGTTATTTGGTGCAGTATTTTCATGGACCAAGTGTTGATGCTTTGCTTGGGTTCTCCTTCTGTGAATCGTTCGGGATTTAGAAGATACGCTTTAAAATAAGAAGGGCCCAGGGGGTGTAATGCTCCTTTGAATTTTTTATTTGCTCCTTTTTTTTTGTAATGAAAAGGATATAATGATAAACTTGCTGAAGTGTGTGAGGATTAAAGGGTGAGGGGTAGGAATTCCTTCTTTCTCCCCTCTTCCCTCTGTGACTTCCGGCAGCCATTCAACAGATTAGTTACTAAAACCACCGGGGGGAAGCTTTGTGGGTGAAATAGTGATAACTGGGACACCGTTTCTATAAAAGAGGAGAACGATCTAGCCAACCACAGCCTGGCACAGAGGGTCCAGGCCCGAAGTGCAGGGCAGGCTATCAGGACTCAGAAGAAGGAGCATTGACAAAAGGAGGTGGGGCAGGTAGCCTCCGGGGACATCCTGATGGAGAGGATGGCACCTGACCTGGAGCCCCTAAAAAAGGCTGCTTTTTAAGTACGTACCTTTGTACAACCGTGCTGCCTATTTACATATCATACAACTATCTGTTCTATGAGATTTTTTTTTTACAGTTATCTGTACTTATTGTGGTTCTCTTATCCATTCATTCAGTACTGATTATGCGTCAGGCAGTGCGCTAAGTGTGGGCATATAAAGTCAAATGGGGACAACTTGGTCTGTGTCCACACGGAGCTCCCACTCTCTGGTGGTGACAGACAAGAAACAACTACCTAAACATGGATAACGGAATTGTACCTTGAGGTAAGGGCTTGCAGGAAATAAATAGGAAGGTGAGGTAGAGAATAACTTGGGTGGGGTGGGATCAGACCTACTTTCCTGAAGGTGGCTGGGAAGGCCTCCTGAAGAAAATACAGGCTACTGTGTTCATGGAGTTCCAGGCTATTTTAAGTGCTTTGCATGTACTATGTTAATCCTCACAACTCTACAGGGAATGTACCATTATTATGCCCATGTGACAGGTGAGGAAACGGGGGCACAGGGACATTAAGTGATAACACATAAGTTGTAAGTGGTGGAAACTGGATTTAAGTCTACACTGCCAGGCCCCAGAGCCTGCTCTTGCGACCACTCTGATGGCCATTCCCTGTCCAGGCAGAGGGCAGAGCACGTGCTAAGTCCCCAAGGTGACTAAGGCCCTGGGAAAGATCTGTGGGGAGGGGCCCGGAGATGGTGGGAGTGGCCTGGTGGAGTTAGAGTGGAGGCGAGGCCCTTCGAGAACATGGTAAGAAGGTTTGGATTTCATTCTGAGCACAATGGAAAGTCAGGAGGGTTTTAAGTAGGGTTCACACATGATGAGATGCCTTTTAACAAGGTAATTCTTGCCGCAACTTGGAGAATGGATTGCAGGCAGGAAAGGCCATAGGAAGACCAGTTAGGAACAGATTTTGGAGACAGAATGAATAGCACTTCCCATGATCAAGTGCCCCCATCCAGTGGAGGAGGTGGGGGCTGGCCCATTATACTTCCCCAGGGGCAGGCTCCTTTCCTGCGGGTGTTACTATGGAAACCAATGTGCAGTGTGAGCAGAGTCACTGAGGGAGTTGGAAAGAACAGAATGCTATTGGCCCCAGCACCATAGAACTGCCGGTGGTTGGCAGAAAGGTCTCTCTCTAGTGTGATGTGTTCATTTCACAGATGAGGACACTGAGCTCAGAGGAGGTAAGTGATTAGTTGCCTAACTAGTTGGTTGTTTACTTGGGAGTAAAATGTGTGCGCTTTTCCTTGACCCTCACAGGTGCATAACTGGTTTCTACTTAAGACAGACAAATTTAACTTACGAGGTGATTTCCCACCACTTCTAGGGCACTGGTGTACTTTGGTACAGGCCAAAAACCTCCTTCATTTAAAAAAATATGTATTTTCATTGATTTCAGAGAGGAAGAGAGAGGGAGAGAGAGGTAGAAGCATCAATAATGAGAGAGAATCATTGATCAGCTTCCTCACGCACGCCCCACACTGGGGATCAAGCCCGAAACCTGGGCATGTGCCCTGATTGGGAATTGAACCGTGACCTCTTGGTTCAAAGGTCAACCCTCAACCACAGAGGCACGCCAGCCCTTTAATTTGAAATAGCTTTCTTTGATGGCAACAATTCCCATTTCCCAACACACGGTCAAAGGCTCTTTTTATGGAGACTTTCCCTTCTCTCCTTCTATGTGACACAATCAGAGGAAAGGACAAGCCAATAAGCTCACTTCTCATGTGACCGGGTCACCTTCTCCGCCCTCCTGTTTGCCTGCGGGAATTCTTGCCCTTGATTGTAACAGGTAGCCCGGGTGTGAGCAAGGTTGCAGAGAAGGTCAGGGAACTGCCGAACGCCTGGGGCTACAAGGAACATGCTCGGAGCAGAAAACAGGAGGAGGCTGCATCTAAGCAAATGTCTCCTTTATCCACAGCCAATTAGAGTGTCCATGAAGAATCTCCAAAGTGTTCTTAAAGGAGCTAAGCAAGTCCTGGAGGGTTCAATTAATCTTACCATGGCCCTTCTGCCCGGTGAAGAAGATGACGTTATTTTGCAGTGCCGAGTGGTTGTTTGCTAGCTGAAACTTCAAGTGGAATTCATAATCGAAGCTGATGTCTGGGATCCGAGAATAAGCCAGGAATGAAGTGTATCCGAAGGCACCCATGCCACTGAACCTGGGCTGAGTGATATTAATAGCTGTGGAAAAACCCAAACCCAAGTGTTAAAATAAACCTGTACGTGTGCTTGTGAAAGGAGGGTTTGCTGATGCATGTGGCCAGACGGTCTGTTTATTATCACATTAATTACACTCGAGTGCTCTCAGCATTGAGCCACTAAGTGACTCAACGGGGAATTTCAGAACCAGAACCAAGGAAGCGCAGTGTTTTGGGACCCTGTGTCTATACTTTCGCCCCCAAACCCTTTCGCCATAATGGAGAATTTGCTTAAAAGAACAAAACCTTCTATTTCGAGGATTAATTTTAGAAATAGAAAAGATCACTGGCAGACAAAGTGTTTACCCAGGTGCTTTGTAAACAAGACTTGGCATCCAAACACTGACTATGACTAAGAGAGGAATTCACAGCTTGGAACAAACTGTGTGTTTCTAATCCTGCCCCTTCATAGTAGCGGAAGCCCTAGGTCAGGGGTAGGAAAGCCAAAAAATCAAGAGAGAATGTGATCAGTTTCCATGACCATATTGTGAATGATGAGAACTTTCCGTGAAGTGAAAAATCATTGTCTAAAAGAAATGTTCATCCCTACTGTGCTGAGATGCTTGTTAGGTCATGAAAGCATGGGTTTCAATAGGCCTGAAACTGTAAGGAGAATTCATAGAAACAGGAAGTGGTAAGAAACAGTTCAGCACTGGCTGGTGTGTTCAGTGGTTAGAGCACCGGCCCACACACCCAAGGGCCACGGGGTTGATTCCTGGTCAATGGCATGTACCTGGGTTGCAGGTTCAATCCCCAGCCCTGATCCAGGCATGTACGAGAGGTACCCAATTGATGGGTCTCTCTCTCATCAATGTTTCTCTCTCTCCCTCTCCCTCCTACCCCCCCACTCTCTCTAAAAATCAATGGAAAAAATATGATAGGGTGAGGATTAACAAAACAAACAAATAAACAAAAACACACAAAGAAAACTCAGAAGTTCAGGGGCCAGTGTGGACAAAATAGAATTGTATTGAGGGGTGCTATCAGCCAGCCAGCCTCACTTTTCGTCCTAATTCTATCTAATCTTGTACCCAAATTTTCTCCTTCATTGCTGTTTCCTTCATAAATAGTCCCGGCTGGCTTTTTTTCCCCCCAGGCCGAGAGGACCGCAGGAAACAGGAAGGGGGATTGTGACTCCCACCCCCGCCTGTTATGAATGGTGTTCCCAGGTTAAAGGATGTTCCTAGGATCTATTTATATTGGTTCCAGCGTTTGCCAGAGGAAAGGAGAGATTGTTTTGATTACTTTTTATTGCTCACTTCTTCTCAAGAGATGCCTGGCTCTCCTGGGAAGCTGTAAAACTAGAATTTTTACAAGCCTTAAGAAATAGCCTCATTCTGGTACCCAACACTTAAAATAAAAGAGCTTGTTATGTCTGGTTATAACTGTTTATATAGCAAATAATTGTGCTATCCTGGGAAAGATGATGCGAGTTATCAGAGGCTTTTATTTCTGTTTGTTTCACATAACTATTCAAATCGGGTAATTGTGTGGAATAAGTTGAACACTTCATTTTAATATTTAATATTTAATTAAAATCTGATCATTTTATTCTTTGTTAAGTGTGGCCTAACAATTTTTTTCCCCTGAAAACTCACCAAAATCTGATGTGGGATTTGGAGACCTATCGTCTTTCACATTTATTTTTTTTATCTAGTGGCTTGTGTTCCAGAAATAATGAGACTTCCCATCAGGCCTTCTACTCTCAGTGGTTCAGGGAAGTGAAATGTATTGCAAGTGAAATAAAGTAAAAACACTGACAGTGTTTTACCATCGGCAACCAAAACAGTGAAAACAGAATTCAATGAAATGTAATAATAAAATAGAGGAATGACTTAAAACATTTCTTCCTGTTCGTAATTTACAACGGAGTCGAAAGGTATCATACAGTTAGGTTATGTCAACAAATATATCACATGTATTTCACCGTCAGACCCTGTGCTCGATGCTGGTGACACAAAGATAACAAAGCACAGATAACTAGATAACTAATTCCTTGATCCCTACCCTCAAGGAAGTAGTGTGTGGCCAATTTATTCAACAGAACTGGGCTGAAAATTGAGGCTTGGCTGCTGAGCAGCACTTCCCCCGACAGATGAAAGGGAAAATCGTTTCAGACGGAAAGAACAGCACGTTCCGAGCTGGGGAGGCCAGAACAGCACGCGGTTTACCCAGGAAACTCGTGGAGTTTGCAAACTGTAAAGGACAAAAAGGAAGAGAGCAAGCAAATGAAACGAGATCGCCAGACAAGAGTCTAATCATGAAGGGCTTTATATTTTCTCCTCCACCTCTGGGTTGTTGGGCAGTGACCGAAGTGGCCTTTGAGATCTATCACTTGGGTGATGAAATGTGAAGCTCCGATCAGAAGAGAGAGCTGGAGGACTCAGCCCTGGTCAACATGAAAAAGAGGACTTTGATGATATGAAGAAATAGGACCATGAGCTAAGTTTCTACTGAACTGTAAATGTAAGACAATTTATGGGTAACTTGTTAAAAAAAAAGGTAATGGTGTGATATTTATCTGAATAAATAGTGTTATCCCACTTAAGTTTATGACAATTTTATACTCGTCAAAAGAGGTACAATGTGTGTTGAAACTTGAGGATAACAATGCCCACAGGAGTGGATCTGACACTCGCTTGGCATTCCTTAGTCTAAAGCTATGCTGTTGGATAACATTTCAACCTGCCCCATGTGGCCAGGCCTGACCTAGATGGGTTTAGTACGGAGAAAAGAATGTGAACCATCTTATTAATAATATTTCATATGCATTAAATATTGGCTTAAATAAAATATATTATTAAAATAAAGTTCACTTGTTTCTTTTCACCTTAAAAAATGTGGCTACTGCCCAGCCGGTGTGGCTCAGTGGTTCAGCGTCGGCCCATGATCCAGGAGGTCACAGTTCCACTCCGGGTCAGGGCATGTGCTTGGGTTTTGGGCCTGATCCCCAGTGGAAGGTGTGCAGGAAGCAGCCGATCAATGATTCTCTCCATCATTGATGTTTCCATCTCTCCCTTTCCCTTCCTCTCTCTAAAATCAATGAAATATATTTGAAAAAAAATGTGGCTACTAGAAAACAAAATTACACAGGCAGTTCACATTCTATCTCTACTGAATAGCCCTGTTCAGAAAACCGTGTGTCATCCGGCAGGCAAGTTTTTTCTCTAAACCCTTAGTTCTGACTTACTTCAAGGGGCTAAATGGCTTTCCCCACCTCCACATTCCTCTCTGGTTAGCTACTCCCTGTTTCTCTGTTCGTCCTTACAGTAACTCTTATTCTAAAGCGTATCAGTGGTGACTCTTTCATTTTGTTGCCACCCTTTCGCCCTTGATTTCATTTCAATATCTACCTTTTCTTTGAGACTTCTTATGTCAAAGTCACCCATGACCACCATCTTTCTAAATTCAGTGTCAGTTCTCTGTTTTCATCTTCTTCAATGTCTCAGAAGCCATGGACAGGGTTGATTATCTCTTTCTCTCTTTTTTAAAAACAAATATATTTCATTGATTTTTTTTTTTTTTTTAGAGAGAGAGGAACGGAGAGGGATAGAGATAGAAACATCAATGAGAGAGAACTATCATCGATCGGCTGCCTCCTACATGCCCCCCACAAGGGATCAAGCCCACAACCTTGGCATGTGCCACAACTGGAATTGAACTAGTGGCCTCTTGATTCCTGGCTCAATGCTCACTTGCTGAACTACACTGGCTGGGCTATCTCTTTCTCTTGAAATGCTTTCTTTACCTGGTTTCCGCAGTACTGCACTCTCCTAGTATTCTTCCTACTTTAAACAGCTCTTCCACTTGTCTCCATCTACCATCACTCCCTGCTTCATCATACAAACCATTTATAGGAGGAAGACCCAGAGTAGTAGTCTTTAACCTTGACTTCCTTCCAGACCTCCAGAGCTCCAGATTCATATACCTAACTACCTATTAGATACGTGGATATATCTGTATGTCCAATATGAGCCTGCAACTGAGCATATACAAGACAGAACTCTTTATTCTCATATATTTTTAAGCATCCTTCCAAACCCAATCCTTTCCCTTGTCTCTCAACCAAATTTCTTCCCCAGTTTTCCCTGTCTTTGTTCAGAACAAAAATTAGTCATCATCCTTAAATTGTTTTTCTGTCTCTGCCACCTCAAACAGTTGACTGGAAAAATCCCATGAATCTCATCTTCAAAATATATCCTAAATTCCACTAACTTCTCACCACCTCCATTAATGCCACCAAAGTTCAGTGTTCTATTCTCTCCAGCTTGGACTACTGTATTTGCTTCTTCTCTGGTCTCCTTTGCCACCTTTGTACCTTACGGTCTCTTTTCCATATTCCAGAAATACAGGCTTTTAAATATTAATTGCATGTTAAAAGTTCTCCAGTGGCTTCCCTTGAATTTGGAAATAATTAAAAACACACACACACAAACAACCCTTAGTATAGCCTAAAGATCCTAGTCTCCAAGGTTATTTTATACCCATTTCTTCTTGACCATTCTGTTCCAAACATGTTAACTTCTTTGTGTTTCTCAAACAATTCAAACATACTGCCAGTTCAGGGATTCTGCTCCTTAAGTTTCGAATGCCTGAAATTTATTCTCCCCCAAAGGTGAGACATGACCTGCTCCCTTATTTCCTTCAAGAGTGTGCCCAAGTGTCCCCTCTTCACGGGGGTCTCCCTGACCACCTTATCAAGGGATTCATCTCCTTTTATCTCCATCACTTTCTACTTCCTTAATCTGTTTTGCTTACTGCAGCCTAATTACATTATATGTTATTTATAGTTTCTCTCTCCCTAATTAGATTGGAGGTTCCATCAGGGCAGAGAGCTTGCATTCATGAACCAAACCAACAACATACTTAGCTCAAGTGGGTATGGAATATATATCCCTCAAGTGGTTGAATGGATAAATATAAAGGGCTTAACATGGTGTTGAAAGATAGTGACAAATATAGTTGTTATTTTTCTGCTGTTAT